GGGGCGACACCCCTGCGGACAATCGGGGGGGAGGTCCGCAAACTCGCTCTGTCGGTCTCGGGCGGCCGGGCTACTGCTGGCCGTCAGAGGGGAGGGGCTGCCTGCCAGCCGGCAACACAAACCGCTGCACGGCGGCGCGGCGCGGGGCTCGCCGGCCAGGAGCGCCCTCCTGCTCTACCCTGCTCTGCCCGAGGGCCCTCGAGGTCGCGGGCGGGGCGGGGCGTCCCCCTTGCGGCTGCGGTGGCAGCACTGCCGTTCTTCCTCCTTGTCCCGGCCCGCCCCGAGCCCGAGGCACACCCCGTCTAACCGCGTGACGGCGGGATGCAGCAGCAGACGGATGCGCGCGCCGCTCCTCCCGGGGAAGACAATTATTTTCCTCTTCCCTTGTGTAGCGCAAAACCCCGCGGGAACAAAATAATGTTGCTGTTTGGAAGAAAGGGGGGTGGTGGAGGGTAGACGCCGGCCTGCGGCGGGCTCAACAACAACAACAACGGCCGCAGCAGGTCTGTAAAATGCAGTTACCTCGATTGTTTACTGTCCCACCGCCGCTGACACACGCGGTCACATAACGATGCGGGGTTTATGCTTCCTGTGCGGCCCCGAGGCGCAGTCCGCCCGCAGGGCACCGCAGGGCACCGCAGGGGCAGCGACCGACCGACCGACCGACCGACCGACCGCCAGGCAGGCAGGCAGGCAGGCAGGCGGGGCCACTGCAAAGTAAAGCCGCCTCGATCCACTGCACTGCAAAGCGGAGCAGGCGCGCGGCGGGCCCATGACGGAGCCCTCTCCTCTCCTCAAACTGCTCTCATATTCGTCTTTTCCACCCACGTGTCGCCCGCAGTCCTCGCTGCCGAGAGGAGCCCCAATTAACGCCCCTCGTCCGGCCAAACCCAACAAACACAGCGGGGCCTGTTGGGCCGGCCTGTCGGGCCCGAGTGCCCAGCCCGCCAGCAGCCCCCCATCCGCCGCCCTCAAAACTTTCCCCCTGCATGTAGGCAATCTCTGCAGCTGCCCCGCCCCCCTCCAGCAGCCGCCGCCACCACCGTCACCACCGTCACCGCCACCACTCCAGAAGACACGCGAGGGGTGAGCGGGCGGCAAACGCCTCGGGCGTGTCGTAGCTTCAATCAATCGACACATCCCCCACCTTCTCTCTCCCACTCTCTCGCACTCCAGCTGCTGCTCACCACGAGGCTGCGCTGTATGCATGCTCTTTATCCGGCCGGGGAGCGGTAGCGAGCGGTAGAAGTTGGTAGACGTTAACCGAGGCCGAGGCGTGTGCATTCTCTTCACCCGCGGCCGGGGAGTGGTTTGGTTGTGTGGTGAGCGGTTGTGACGTAAGCGGTAGACGTTGGCCGGGACGTGTGAATGCTGTTCACCCGGCAGAGGCGTGGGTGTGGGGTGGGAGCAGCTGGGCAGTAGACGTTTGGTAGACGCTGCCCGCCCCGTGTGCGAGCCTTGTCGCCCGGACCGCGGAGCGGTAGCAAGCAGTAGAACCTTGGTAGACGGTGGGACCGCGCCGCCCTCGAGGGTGCTGATCGACAGCACAGTGATAACGATGGCAATCTTTCATGTTGATTACGTCTGGGCTCGACGGGGAGCCGCCTGCCGGGCCCCGCCCCGCCCCGCCACGCCCAGGACCTCACCCCGGCCGCCCGGCTGGTACCCCTCTTCATCTAGCCGTGGCCCCGGGCGCTCGCCGCCCTCACCCTGCCCATCCTGCCCCTACTCCACTCCATATCCCCCCCCCACCCTCTTCCCCTCGGCACGGCCAGAGGCACGCACAGTATTAAAAAGTTGGAGGAGCAGAAAGTTAAATGGCGATTGCTTTGGTGGTGATTGGAGGGATCGATTTGCAGCCCTTTCCCTCATCCTTATCAC